TCGCCGAAAAGTCTCACATGGAGCAAGGTTCATGAGGGGTGCATGTTCTGCCAGTAGCAAGATATACTGAGTTTGAATATGTGTGAAAAGGTCATGGAGGATGTAGGGGGAAGATTGGGAGGAGGTGTAGTAGTAGTGAGAGAGAGAGAGAGAGAGAGAGAGAGTGGGTGCGTTGAAAGAGTGGAGGGGAAGCAGGAGGAGGAAGAGGAGATAATGGGAAAGTCGGTTCCAGTCAGTCATCCGTGGTATGTAAAATCATTGTAATCGGCATACCTAATCAATCTTACCCCACGCTGGCTGATTCTCTGCTCTCCTTCCCTGAACATCACCTCTCTCCTGGATTAATTGTTTCTTGGTTTTCTCTTCTACTTTGAGTCAGGTCTACCTTACATGAAGCATTTGTAGACCATGCTATACAAGGACTGCGATTGATGCGCCGTATCTTTGGAGGTTATGTATGACAATTCAAGGTCGTCTTTCAGGTACGGTACAGGTCAGGTCAGCCTGACAGCCCAGGCACCGGTTCTCAGGCCGGATAAGGATCCAGCAGCAGCAGCAGCAGCAGCAGCGATGATGCAATCTTTTGAATGGACAGGTAAGTAGATTGAATCGAGATTAGTACTCATACATTACATGCTCTGTATAGTACACAGTACCTAGTATGCATGTATGTATGTTTAAGTTGCCAATAGCCAATAGGTTAGTCAATTATTCAAAAATACTAGACCCATCTCAGTGAAGATCACACACAACTCTGAAGCTAGACACAAGCTGTTATCATACGCCGAACTGGTTTAGCCGAGGCCGGATTGTCCTCCCTCTCTCTACTCGCCGACCGTGTGCCAGCTCTCCCTCCCATTCTCCCCCCCCCCTCCCCGTTGCTTTCCTTTTCACGCCTCTTACCATCCTGATCCTTCATTTTTAAATTCTTTCCTGTCAAACACCCTCTGCTCCCTTCTCTTCTACTCCTGCTTCTTACATAGGATGATCTGATCTTCTCCCACTTCCCCCAACAATCTCCTGCTGAAGCCCCCGATCATCGCTCCACCATGATCAGTGCCACTAAGCGCTGGTTCCGGCGCAATCGCAAGGGCCTTGCAATCGGAGCAGGCGTTATCGGCGCGGGCTATCTTGCCGGCCAATATGTACTGGGCAAGATCTCGGAAGCAAGCGAGCGTATGGGAAGTGATCGTATTGCTCGAGAGAAGTATGTGATCTCTTCGCTGATGAAAGAGCTCGGGCCGTGTTGCGATGTGCTCGTGTGCTCCGAAGTGGTCGCTGACGAGCCCTGCCCCGATCTAGCCTACGGAGACGCTTCGAACAGAACCAAACCGACTGTACCTACACTATCCTAGCACTCTTACCCACTGCAGCGGAGGATATACTGGAGGCATTGCCGGTCGAGGAGTTGACGAAAGAGCTACAAAAGAAGCGCGCGGAGCGGTTAGCTCGCCTCGGTACGGCGGAGGGGACAAGCTCTGATCTAAGCTCAATCTCGCCGAGTATCACAGATGATGATCGCCGAAGCCTCTCCAGCTTCCAGAGCGATGGCTTTGTCCGCGCAAGTCAGCTAGGAGAATCCACACTTGAGGGTGCCGCACCCTCGCCGTCGCCAAAGCGCAACAAGACTCAGTTGTGGAATGAGGTTAAGATCACCTGTAAGTTGCTTTCGGCTGTGCTTTGGCCAATTTCGGGAGCTGACGGTTTCATGGCAGCTATCACTAGGTCCTTTACGCTGATCTACACCCTATCCTTACTGACTATCTTCACTCGTATTCAATTGAACCTTCTCGGTCGTCGAAATTACCTGTCTAGCGTGATTTCTATGGCCACACCCCCAGCGGATGCATCGACTATCAGACTTGAAGATCATGATGATGATGACCTTACACAGACTCTGGGTAATGACTTCGAAACCAACCGGCGCTATCTGGCCTTCAGTTGGTGGCTTCTTCACCGTGGCTGGAAGCAATTGATGGAGGAGGTGCAATCCGCTGTGACGGAAGTATTCGGGTCGTGCAACCCCAGAGAGGATATTTCGCGCGGCAAGCTGGCAGAATTGACCCTGCAAGTCCGAAGGAAAGTGGAGGGGGATACCGAGGAAGACAGAAAGTAGGTTTGACTCTTGTCATATGTTTGCTGGCATGTCATTGACCATTTAGACACCGGAAGTGGCTATCCTATCTGCTTCCCCCGAGAGAGGAGGAGGATCATCTACTGGAAGAGTCTGGTGTTCTAGGAGTGACGGAACCCTCGACCCCTCAAACCACTGCGACACTACGGCACCTGTTGGACGAGACAGCTGACCTCATTGACTCTCCGACATTTACCCGCGTTGTCTTGCTTCTCAACAACGAGTGCTTCGAAACCTTGATCCAGCAATGCGCAGCCGAAGCTTTTAAAGCATCGCACACGCCTGCCCCTCAGTCATTCACTTCCGTTGCTACGGTCGTCCCTGGGGCAGTCAGCTCAGAACCGAAGACTAAGCTGGCAAACGTGCTAGCCGTATTGGCTCGACAAGCCCATGTGATCGGTAACGGCACTGCGCCTCCCAACTTGTACCTTAATGCCATGGAACAAGGAGTTCGGGAGCTGGAAGCTTTTGCGGCCGTCGTGTACAGCTCCAACTTCGATGCTGAGCTGCTCGAGTCTGATGCGAAAACGCAGTCGATGAGATTGCCGGCAGAAGCAAGCTCCGACACGCCCTCTTCCCCTGGCCCCGTCATGGTTGACACGGAGGACATTGAGGACCAGGCTCTTCAATCGATGTCGAGTCTGACAGTTGCAGATGACTCAACCTTCGAGACGGCGTGGGGCAAGGCTGTAGAGGATCAACCCTCAACAGGACTAACTACATGAATTGGAGAGATTCCCGCATTCTACGAAGATGTTGCTCCCTGAATGAACATTTAACGACCTTCCTCTACTATATATACTCGCACGACCGGCGATTAAGCAAATACCACGAATGTATCTATTCTCCTTGACATGTCACTAGAACCGGAGATGACTAGCGGATAGAGGGCGGAATAATCTGGCGCTGAAATTGGGCAAATGTACGATATCGGAAAACCAATAATAGCCTGATCACCTCCTCAAACTGAAAGAGATTTTGATCGTCGCAACCTACTTCCATGCCTAGGAGGGGTCACGTCTGGAATCCATTCATACATACGTACGTAGTAGATTTCATAAAATGCGGGGAGAAGCGAGTGGACCCGCCTGGCAGCTGCCTTAGTCATCCGAGTATGGGGTAACTTAACTAGTTAATCCACTTCAATACTAGTCAAGTCTTTCTACTTCTAAAGCTGAACTCGGCCACAACTTACCGGGCAGACTGATAGACTGCTCTAGAGCCATTAAACTTGCCGAGGGTGAGAGTTGAGCTGAAAGCTTTTCCCGCTTCGATTGACTTTCCATATCTGAGGTTTGTATCTATGAAGAAAATGCTATATCCGGAAACATGTCCTGTAGAATGCTCCGGAATTGACAAGGTTATCTCCCGCAGCATCTCCCGCAGCAGTCTTCTGTATGTTAAGCTCATATAGTAGATGCCTGATAATGTAGATTCCAGCCAGTTTAGCATAAAGTCGACCGTCAGGCTGCAAGTCCAATTCTTCAGCCGAGCTTCAAGTCGCAGGTCGGTACTGAGTGCCGGCTCAGGTGACTGGCTGGATTGGCTGGCACTGTCGGCTCTCATTGCATCTTTGATACCTAGTGAGCTGTAGCTGAGTAGTTGGGTGTTAACACAGCTGAGCTGACTTTTTCCTTCCCCTCTTCTCCTCCGCTTACTCTCCACAAATAGACTCTGAAATCCCCTAATTCGGGCGCTTCTCTGTTCCTCCCTGTTGATGCCCATGAGACTTGATTGTACTCATCTTTACCGAGTGAATTACGCACACAGACCGTCACTCCCAGAGTCCTGACCACCTTACTTCATCAGTCTGGAAAAGAAAGCAAGCACTACTGCAGATTGATTCATAAGCTCAGTGTCTACTCCAATTATCCTTAGGACCTGGTCTCTGAAGCTTGTACTCAAAGTGATATCAAGCACAATGGGTCGCGATGCAGGTATGTCCTCCCATACAGTTCATGCGCAGCACGATCCAGTGCTTTAACACCTGTATGTGCAACGTAGGGTCACAGTCCCCTTATTTCACCGAGATGAAGACCGAGGAGCAGATCCAGACGTCCGCCGCGGGCCTGCCCCGGCTGACTTCCACGACCGAGCGCAAATTGATGGCCAAGATTGACTGGCACATCGTCCCATGCCTGTGCATAATGTATTTGCTGGCTTTCTTGGATCGGCATGTGTCCCTACGTCCCGGAAGATAGGTCCGTGATAGGTTCACTGACGGTGGACGGCTACAGGGTGAACATCAGTAACGCTGCGGTGCTCGGACTGCAGAAGGATCTCAACATTGTCACCGGCACCAAGTACAACACTGCATTGACCATCTTCTTCGTGCCATATGTGCTCTTCGAGATCCCGTCCAACCTGCTGCTCAAGAAGCTGAAGCCGCATGTGTGGTGTGAGTATCTGGAACTGTGCATAGTCGTGGTGTGGACATTGGCTGATATGCCGTCGATGCTCATAGTGTCCCTGTGCATGTTCGGTTTCGGCCTCGTCATGATCTGTCAAGGATTGGTGACTAGCTGGGGTGGATTGGTAACCACGCGCTGGTTCCTGGGTACAATTGCTCTCATGTTCGTTGTTGGTGTGGGATGTAGGCTGATACGCAGGTCTTAGGGATGTTCGAAACGGGCATGTTCCCGGGGTGTAAGTGCTGTCTTTGTCGCTGTGCGTATTTGGCCACCGGACTAATCTGCAACTTACGTGCAAGGCTTCTATTTGCTCGGTACGTGGTATAAGCGAAGCGAAGCGCAAAAGCGTTTCAGTTTCTTCTTCGGCTCCACCACCCTGGCGGGTGCCTTTGGTGGCCTCTTAGCTAGCGGTCTCGGAAAGATGGCTGGCCTACGAGGCTACGGCGGCTGGCGATGGGTTTTCATCATCGAAGGCGTTCTCACGTGCGTGGTTTCCTTCGTATGGTACTTCATCATTCCTGGGTTCCCAGAGGATGTCAAATGGATCAATGATGAGGAGCGAAGGTACATCCAGGCAAAGCTGGCTCAGGATGTGGGCAAGGCCGGACACAATGCCCATATCGGTTTCCGAGACGTGCTGGATGTGTTCAAGGACTGTAAGTACCGCGTTTATTGGCTCGGAAGGACGCTGACTGGGAGATGTAGACAAAATCTTTATTGGCGGGTTTATGTACTTTGGTCAGGTCGTCTCGGCCTATGGTATGTAGCATTGGGCTAGCCCCGGCAAAGCCTGTCACATGTTTGAAAGGACTTCGCTAATAGTTCCAGGGTATGCCTACTTTGCACCGTCTATCATCAAGACCTATGGATACGGAGGTATTGTGACCAGCCTTGGCTGACGGATTGACACCGTGCATTAACGTATGATGCAGCCATCCAAACGCAGCTGTACTCGATCCCACCATGGGCGGCCGCCTTCGTCTTCTCAATGATCATTGCGATTCTATCCGATAAATTCAAGCATCGGTTTGCATTCACCTTGGTTCCTATGTTGGTCACCATGGCGGGATACGGGATCCTCTTGAATGTCCACGGCGTAGCACATAGGAACGTTCAGTATGGCGCTCTTTTCATGGTCACCTGTGGCACCTACAGCGCAATGCCCGTGATTGTCTGCTGGTATGCTATGAACCTAGGCGGCCATCGGCGACGCAGTGTAGGAACAGCATGGCAGATAGGGTTTGGGAACAGTAAGTAGCCCAAAATTCAAGTGGGCCAGGGCAACCAGAGGATTTTTCATGCAGCTGACAGCAATCTCTAGTTGGGGGGTTCATTTCGACATATGCCTTTCTAGCGAAAGATGCACCTCTCTACCGCAATGGATACATCATCAGTTTGTCCTTCCAGTGCTTCTCGGCTGCCTGCTGCATTATCTACTTCGCAGCGATCTGGGCTGCAAACAAGCGACGTGACCAGATTATGGCCAGTAACACCCCGTCGACACTGCTCGACGACGAGGAAGAAATCAAGGGTGATCTGGCAGTGACGTACCGATACGCGTACTAGAAAAGATGTCCTTAACAAGCGAGAATTGCTTGTTGCAATCTGGGATAGACATTTATCTGGTCATTTCCACCGACATCCACGGAGTAGACAGATAGGGCTAGGGCTTTTGATTGACTATGGGAGTAGTGGAGAGCGGTGAGGCGAGGATATGGTCTTGCATGCAGCATTATTGACCGAGCACAGCGTGGTCCTACTGATGATGAAGCATAATGAAGCATGAGTAATGAGAACCTCAATCACACACAGTCGTACTCATACAATCGTAGTTCGAGTGAATCTGTACTCTGTAGGCCTAACGAGCCAACGAGAAGCCCATCGGTCAAAGGAAGCATTGCTGGGATATAGTCTACACCGAGCGGGAGTGTTGATGTCACGAGTGAAACCCAATGTGGTTCCCTGCGGTCTCGGTAAAGCAAAGGGTGGCCAGTGCGTAGCCAATCACAGCCATCAGAGCACTAGCGAGCCCTTAGCGGCATTGGATGCTGAGTCAGCCACGGCGCACACAAGAAGCTCAACCGCGGCCGTTCTCCGTCTTTCTTGCAACCATCTCTTTCATCCTCGCAGAAGTGTGAGTATACTGCCCCGACCCTCTATTGTTCGGGTTGGACACCAACTAACAGCCATCTTCTAGTCCTATCTACGAAGATGAGAGCCAAGTGGAGAAAGAAGCGCGTCCGTCGCCTTAAGCGCAAGCGCAGAAAGATGCGTGCTCGCAGGTGAGTTCAATTCGATAGCCATCATAGTCCAATAGTCAAAACAATGGCTAACATGTGTAATCGCAGCAAATAAATTACTCGCCCCCTCCATCTCAGCTCTGCATGTGAAGACTCAGGTTGAACGCTGAACACGACAATCGAAAACTAAGAATTGCAACGACGTCACGATGATGATTTTAAACCTTTTATGATCGTTCAACGTGGTTCCCTTCTCTCCACCATCTCGGATCAAGGGCCCTGTCCCGGTTTTATCTACTACTCGAATTCGGAATCCGCCGTTCAACAAATGGAACTTCGAAAATCCCGTTCCAATCCATCGGGTTCGAAAACGTCTTCGATTTCTCACGACGGCTTCTCTCGCGCTATTGTGGCCGGACAGGGGAAGGGATGCGTTCTCTGTGGCGCGTCTCATCCATCCTTGGAGGTGGGCAAATGTGTTTGGTAGGGTTGGAAAGGGATCGGTTTTGTTGATTCTGTACTTCTCATCATCATACGCCGATGTCTTTGAGCTTCTATGGGGAACTGGTCAATATCTCATGTCTCGAGATTTCACTGGCAAACAAAAAAAACCAAGGGAATTTCGGGTCGTGGAGAGGTTTCTTTGAGAATTTATTCCAATCACAAAAAGTTCAAACGCAATCTCTTTCGCTACTTCTACTACGTAAAACCAAAAAATAAAGTAAAGTAGAACATCAAAAGTCGGCGCGACAGTGTACCACTTGTCGCACTCTGTCGATCTTCTTCAGAATTGACCATCCGACGCTGGTGGTCAGACAAATGGTGATAGACTAATTAATCATTTGTGTGTCCCCGTGATCTGCACCGCACTCGCGCCCTGCTGAGATAGTAGTCTCTCTCCGCCTTCCATTTCGGGACCAACTGACCGCCTTCAACTTTTTTCCTGGGACTTTTTCCTCCTCCGGTATATCAAAATCCACGCCGGTCGACGAGACACGGAAGTCCGCTCATTTTCGACCTGCCCCAGACTGATTGATACCCTTTGGACATCTTTTGGCACAATGGTCTCCGACAAGGTCGAAAAGAAGCGCAAGCGCGCCTCTGATCGCCACGAGCGGCCTAGCAAGAAGCCCGCGCTGGAAATCCAAGATCTGCCCCCTCTGGCTTCGAGCGTGGTGGAGGATGATAGCGAACTCGCTCCGGTCATTGGTAAACGCCTATCTATCCCAAAAAAGCTCGACTTTTCCCAGGAAGCAATAAATTAGACTATACATGCTAATCCACACATGGCGGCAACAAAATAGTGACCACCCCCGGCCTTAACGCCCCCCGCAATCTCCGGCTCAAACCCTACCTGAAAACCCGCAGCAAGACCTCCTCCGCTTCGACGCGCAACAAAGGGATCGTCTCGTCGGAGCTGCTCCTCCAGTCGTCCGAACACCCCAAGCTGGACTTTGTGGGTCGCGAGGCCGAGGAGGATGCCGACTCCCAGCTGAAGCACTACGTCGCCGTGGTCGATCCCGAGAATAAGACATGGCAGTTCATCGAGGTGCGGAAGATGACGCTGCGCGGTGCGGTGCGGAAGCTGCGCTCCATTGATGAAGAGGAGGAGGAGGAGAGCGAGGAGGAAGAGCTGGTGAGTTCTGATCCTTTTTTTTTTTCTTGGTTTATGCCTATGCCAGTTTAATTTGTGCGCTGGTTGGGTGATCATATCTCTGCAGATGGAGACACCACCTTTTTTTTTCCCTGGGCGAAAAAAAGAAAACTAAACTAACGATGAATGTCTTACATCTCCAGCAAACCCTCCGCGCCCAACGCACCGAACTTACCAACACCTTCGGAACCAAACAATCCCGCAAAGCGGCGCAATCCCTGGCCGAGAACGCGCAACTCTCCAACCTGCCCTCGGGGGCGGCCTCGGCCGCAGAATCCGCCATCCTGTCCTCGATGCCAACGGAGGGGGTCAGCGACATCGCCGCCAAGCAGGCGCTGGTGCAGGCGCAAGTGCAGGCCAACAAGCCGATCCCGACGCCGCACCTGGACGCCTCGCACCCGGCCGAGGTATACCCGCTCGCGGAGCTGGTGCCCAACGGCGAGTCGACGCTGCGGCAGCTGCCGGGCGTGCAGGACTGGATCGCGACGGCGAACGCGGGCGAGCCGGTGGTCACGACGTCGCGGTACGTCTCGCGGCGCGTCGACGCCGTCATCCAGTCCGGCAACACCACCCACCTCCAGATCCTGCGCTTCATCCTGCTGCTCCTCGAGCTCAACCGCCACCTCAAGCGCGACCCCAAGGGCGCCGGCCCCGGCAGCAAACGCCTCCCGCCGCGCGACGAGCTCCGCACCATCCTCGCCGGCGGCACCTCCCCTTCCACTACAAGCACCAGTACGTCGGAATCCCTCGCCGACCCCATCATCGACGCCGTCCGCCGCCGCTTCGCCCCCGGCGCCGGCGGCTCCCTCTCCCGCAACGACGTCACCCTCCTCCACACCACCATCTGCGCCCTCTCGCTGCACATCCCGCCCCAGCCCGCCAAGGACGGCGGCAGCAGCTCCCAGGGCGGCAACGCCCCCAACGAGCTGGCCACCGACCCCGCCGACCTGCGCGACGACCTCCACCTCGAGAGCCCCGTCATCCTGCAGTACTTCCGCGAGCTGGGCTGCCGCGTCGACAAGCCCCGCGAGTCCGAGTTCGCCAAGTGGGGCATCAAGGGCGGCAAGGCCGAGGCCGCTGCCCGCCGCGTGGCGCGCCTGCGCATTCCCGTGGAGTTTCCTAAGGTGAGCCGCGGGGGTGGCAAGAGACGCTAGTGAATCCAAGGCAAGAATGGAGACGAACCAGTGCGTAAGATCCGAAAGAAGGGTGGTGGTGATTAGGATACTATGACGCTGTGTGGATGTGGAAAGAGTATGGAAGAGGGGCGTGTGGACGTGGAAACACTCCTCCGTCTCCCGATAACCCATAGCTTGTCAAATAAGTCTTGTTGTTGTCCTCAAAACAAAAAAAGCATTTGGTCTCCCCCCCTTGGGCTTATTTCCAACTGGCGTTAGGACATACGTTATGTTTTGTGGTGTGTATATTTGTATTTCAATTCGTTTATATAGGTAGTAGTTAATCGGTAGCGAAGAGAAGATGAAGATTTGAGTATGTTATCATAGAGGATATATTTCCGGAAAGTCAACATTGCTTATTCGTTCGTGTAATGGGGGTATACACGGTATACTTACCACAGGGGTGGGGGATGTATATATACTCCGGGTCGTATCGGTCACTCACTCAACGAGAAGGATGCCTTCGGCCCTGTTCAACCCAGCCGCAACTACTAATGTTCGTGCGGAGGAAAATCCTTAGATTTCGTAGAATCTGTATGCTTACTACTGCTACAAGGACGGACACACGAATCAATGGAGGACGAAAACAGATGACAATCGTTGTTAAGGATCTAGAACCTTAAGCGGTCGTCACTCGACGGGACTAAATTCCTTGGTACCCGGCTGTCACAAATACTTGGATTTCCCAGAGGCTTCTTGGGACTTAACCAAAACCGCGATTATATGATTGACCTATTGGGTTGGTTTAGGAGGGGTACAAGAAGATATGATTGATGCTAGGAGATCCTCCAGCATTATATGAGGTGATGGCATTGTTAATAAAAAGGAATGGACGTGGAACAAATGATTACACCATACATCCACAGGACTATGTTTCTCTGAAACATTCGGGGGTTCTCAAGACATGGATCTAGGCGGCGACGCCAACAGGAATGCCCGAGGCCACGGCGGCGGCAGGACGGATCCCGGCGGCGGCGGTCTGCATCCGGGCCGAGGCCTGCGCGAGCAGCGCCTCAGCTGCCGCGTCTTGGAACTCCCGGGTGACGGCGGTCTCCAAGTCTTCACCCTCCTGCAGACCCAACTGGGCGTCCTCCCAGATAGGCTGGTTCGCAGCCTCGGCTCCTTCGACGCCGACGCCGACGAAACCGCCCTGAGCCTTCCAGTGGCTGGCGCGCTTGATGCCCAAATCGTTCCAGACGGTTTGGAGCGCCTGAACCAGGTGGTCGCGGTGTTCCTTCACGTGGCCCGGAGTGGGGGTGATGCGGAGTCGCTCTTCACCCCGCGGAACGGTGGGGTAGTTGATGGCTTGGACGTAAATCCCATGTTCCTCCAGAAGCTTGTCCGAGGCTTGCTTGGCGACCTCGGCGTCGCCGACTAGGAGGGGAATGATGTGGGACGGGTTCGGGATCACGGGAATGTCCAACTCCTTCAGGGATTCCTTGACGGCCCGGGTGTGCAACTGCTGCAAAACGCGGTCGCGTTTGTACTCAGCCTGGTACTGGATGGCAGTGTCCGCTCCGGCCATGGTGGCAGGAGGCAGGGAGGTGGTGAAGATGAATCCCGGGGCCAGAGAGCGGATGGTGTCCACCATGGCGGCGGAACCAGCAATGTATCCACCGACACAGCCGTACGCCTTACCCAGGGTACCGGTGATGATATCAATGCGGTCCATCACGGTGCCCTTGGTGCTGCGTGGGTTGGCGGTGTCCTGCGAGGCGTAGACGTCATAGTCGAGATGCTCCGCGACACCCGCACCGTGGGGGCCGTACATGCCAACGGCGTGCACCTCATCCAAGAAAGTGATCGCCCCGTACTTGTCGGCCAAGTCGCAAATCTTCTCGATGGGGGCAATCGAACCGCACATGCTGTATACAGACTCGAAAGCGATGATCTTGGGGACATTCAGAGGCAAAGAGGCCAGCTTGGTCTCCAAGTCGACCAGATCATTGTGCTTGAACACCATCTTCTTGGCGCCGGAGTGGCGGATACCCTGGATCATGGAGGCGTGGTTGAGGCTGTCGGAGAGAATGACACAGTCGGGCATTTTACTACCCAGAGTGGCCAAGGTAGCGTCGTTGGCAACGAAGCAGGAACTGAAGACCAGGGCGGCCTCCTTGTTGTGCAACTTGGCGAGAGTGCCCTCGAGGGCTACCGCATGTTGATTGTGTCCCGAAATGTTTCTCGTACCACCCGCACCAGCGCCGTAAGTATCCAGTGTTTGGTGCATGCTCTTCAGGACCTCCTGGTTGCGGCCCATACCGAGATAGTCGTTGGAGCACCACACGGTCACCTTCTCCTCCTGAGAGGCCGTGTGGGCACGAGGGAACTCCTTGGCCAGACGATTGATGTTGTTGAAGTAACGGTACGACTTGTCCTTGTGCTTCTTGTCCAGCTCCCCGTTATAGAAAGCGTTGTAGTCGAAAGGCGCAACCTTCGGGGCATCGGGGCGGGGACCGGTGACGGTTGCGCCGCTGGGGGCTTCGAAACGGCCTTTGACACCGGGGAAAGCGGGGTCGACTACGAAGCAATGGAGTCAGTACAATGTGTCTAACAATGGGAAGTGTACGAAATACCTCTCTGAGAGTCCTTGTAGACATTGGGAGCAACGTCCGCGCCATTGCCCGAGGTCGAATGCAAGGCCCGCTTGGTGGGAACCGGGCGGAAGTACCTGGGATCCATGCCGGCGACACCGGAGGTGAAGCGCTTGGTGTTGGCCAAACGGGCGCTCTGGACGGCCAGAGCCTTACTCATGACGGGGCAGCGACGGGCCAGAACCTGGAGGTTTGACATAGTGCCGCCTCCAGGGCTCATGCTGGGACGAGTGGCGGTGGACAGAGTGCGCAGAGTGGACGGGGAGGTGCGCTTGAGGAACGGGCACATGGCTCGAGACTGCTGGAGAAGCGACTCCATTGGGTGCGGTACGGCCAAAGGGCGAAGATCACTCTCAATTGGAAAGAAGGAGGAAAGATCCCCTTGTGGTGATAGTTGGGAGTGTGGGGGGGGGGAGGGGAATAGACTTGGGGTAAGGAAAAAGAGAAAACAAAAGAAGAGATGAACGAGGAGAGGTGGAGTTGATAAGTTTTAAGTAAGAGTGAGTCTTAAGTGGGAGGAGTAAGCCTGAGGGGGCAAAAAAGATTCGATGGGCTGGGCAAAGGACGGGATTTGCGGTGCTGGTCGCTGGTCCGCTGAGTAGGGAAATCGGCCGCGACTTGGCGGCTTACTTAAGTGGGAACGCGCTCACTGGGCCGCGGCTGACGATTGTACGGCCACTGATTGGCTCCCGGGTCCGGTTCGGAGAGGGAGACTCGGAAGATGACTAAGAACTAATGCGTGGGTAACTAACTAGGTACGGAGTATGTGTATCTAAATGGTCTCGGCATGGTCACAGCACGGTCACGGCACGGTCACGGGATTTACACCGTAAAAGGCCGGCTGGAACTCGGCTACTTTTCCGCCACGCCCGGCGCATTTTATTCCCTTTTTGGTCACTCACTGTATTACTTACTCAAGCAGCCAGTTCATGCCACTGCATTCATTCGTCCATTCAGTAAGCAAAGCAAACATCAAAAATCCCAAGCTCCACAGTCAGAAGTACAAATAGTCATCGAAGGGGTAAATCCGAGTAGTCAGCGAAAAGAAGAAAACATAACAACAGTCACTCCCCCTAGTGACCTACCCCACACGCACTCCACTCCACCCTCGGAACAACAACAGATCTATCATGCCATTGCCTTCCTCATCATCTTCGGTCTGACTTCTTTTTTTCTGTAAAGTCCTTTCAACCGTCCAATTCTTTTTTTTTGTCTCGCGTAATCTTGCCCGATTCCCCCTTCTCTGCTCATTATCTCCAGGGAATAACAACCCGGTGCAAATATTTTCATACACCACCAAATGCATCCTGTTAATACAATACATAGTTCGGACAGTAAAATCCGCAACTGGGGCGAAAAGAAACATAGAAAAACAAACAACAAAGTGAACCACCATCCAGTGTAAAAGTTCCCAATAAGTGTGTAAAGCTTCAAACAACATCAGAGGTGAATAAGAAAAGAAAGGAAGGAAGTAGATATCCCAACGCCGTCATTCCATCTCATCGTGCAAGAGTCCTCGTAGGCTGGGTTAGCTGGGTCCGAGGCCCCCATCGCCGTCAATGAGACGCAGTCGCTCTTTCGTCGTCTTCGCCCGTTTCGACGTGCCCTTGCCAGTCCCGCGTCCACGTCCTCGCTTGGGAATGGGTGTGGCCGAGGGCGTCCCAATGTTATCCGCGGCGGACACCGGAGTCGCGGCGCCCGAGGGTTTGGCACTGGCATCGTCAAAGTTGCCCTCGCCTAGGAAAGCCCCCGTTAGTCAATGGTTAGAAAATGGGATCGGAGGACGCCTTACCTTCATGATACATATCATCCAGCGTGATGTCTCTCTTTCTTTTCTGAGCCGCCTTCTTCCCACCTTTACTGGCACCAAACACCTCTCCACGGTCCATGGCTTCCTTTTCCTTCTGTTCGATAAGCTCGGCCTGCTCATCGTCCGCCAGCCACATAGCAATGTCCTTGGTCCGGCTTTCCCGATTGCGCGTGTTGAAGTCAACTCCACCAGCGGCACCACCCGTGATGACGACACGCTGGACCTCTTCCTTCTGCAACGCCCGCTTCCGAATCCGCTCCTCAATCGTGCCACGAGTGATGAGGCGGTAGACCGTGACTTGCCTCGTCTGACCCAGACGGTGAGCTCGGTCCATGGCCTGAGAATCAATGGTAGGGTTCCAGTCCGAATCGTAGAAGATGACCGTGTCGGCTGCCGTGAGGTTGATTCCCAGACCACCCGCACGCGTGGATAGAAGGAATACGAAAATTTCCGGACGCTGTTGGAAGTCCGCCACAGTATCACGACGATCCTCCAGCTTGGTGCTTCCATCCAATCGACAATACTTGTAATTGCGGTAGGTCAGATACTCCTCCATCAAGTCGATCATACGTGTCATCTGAAAGTACAGTAGCACACGATGTCCACCGGCCTTGAGCTCGCGCAAGAGTTCGTCCAGCTTGGCCAGTTTACCGGAGTCCGTGACGAAGCGACGCATCGACGGTACCTCAATATGCGTGTATCGGCCCTTGGTGGAAAGTGGCTTGGGTAGCATGGGCTGCAGCGAGTAGGGTGTGGGATCCAGTTTTCTTTCCACAATCTGCTGCTCCACCTGCTTCGAGGCAACGCCGTACAAAGCATGGCGCACGGAAATATTGAAGAAGCTGTCTCTGGCCTCATATATGGGAACCTGGCTCGAACTCGTGATGGTGATTGGAGGTGCCGACGCTGCGGGGGTGGCAGATGGCTCAATCAGAGAAAGACCCTCTCGCTCAAACGTAGACTGGGAAACGGTCATCAAATCCCGCATGTAGCCCTCAGCCGCGACCTCGCTCACTGCATGACGATCGTTGCGATCGACAACGTTGAACAATGTATGCGGAAGGGCTGAGGCGGCTGTCTTGTCATCTTCGTAAACAACCTTGAGCCGGGCCAGCCTGTTTGTTTGTCCACGGCGGCGGACAGCCCGTTCGAAGACACCGGAATGTGACTGCTCGTAGGCCTCACCCGGGGATGTATCCACAAATCGCAGGAAAGAGAATGCCCCGTTGTCCCGAACACTCTGCTTGATATTATCAGGAGCGAAGATGTTCATCATGTGGTTAAGATACTTCCCACGGAAGCCGGCGTACGCATTATCGGGTCCCGCAACATCGACGCGACCAGCAGACCCACAGAGCAGACGGGGCAACGGATACTCAATCAGGTTGCGAGTTGAGTAAGCGACATCGACATTCTGGCCTTCTCTGACAAACGAGGCGGTTTCAGCAAAGTGCGCGACAGAGAATGGTGATTTCGTTTCCGCGCGCTCGAACAGATCCGGGTGGTTGCAGACCTTTCGGAACTGCATGACCAAATTCATCAGCGTTGTGCTGTCTGCCTCGTCTCCAACGGCGGCCTTCTCGATTAGGTCCATGATGCTGACCCGGTTGCGCAAGTTAGTATAGTAAGCGCGCTGGCGGTACGTAAGGTCGCAAAAGATGTCCTTCTCAACCTTATCCCCAAGTTCCTGCTGAACATGCTTCTTGACACGGCGAAGCATAAAAGGCTTTAGAATCATGTGGAGACGTCTTAGCTGGTCCTCGTTGAGTTTCGTGTTACTCTGAGCATGGGATTCAATGTCCTTGGAGAACCATTCGCTGAATTCATCGTGAGAGTCGAACAGCGTGGGCATGATAAAGTGCAGAAGGGCCCACAGCTCCTGCATGTTGTTCTGAATAGGAGTACCTGTCAGGAGAAGACGGTTACGGCAGGAGAAACCGAGCAAGTTCTTCCAACGGGAACTCTGAGAGGACTTGATGGCCTGGGCTTCATCAAGAATCATGTACTGCCACTTGACCTTTTGGAAGTACTGTGCATCCAGAACCACCAACTGATATGAGGTGACCAACACATGGAACTCAGACTCTTTTGTATATGTGATATGCTTTCGATCCCAGAACTTACGGAGGATCTTGCGGTCTTTGGCTGAGCCCCAGTACGGAAGAACCTTGATGTCCGGGACGAACTTGGTGATTTCTTGTTGCCAGTTGTGCAGCGTGGACGCTGGCGCAATGACCAAGAACGGACCCCAGATATTGTGGACTTCAGCGAGGTAAGCCATGACTGAGATAGACTGAATAGTCTTTCCTAGACCCATCTCGTCGGCCAAGATACCGTTGATACCTTGCTCGTACAGGTTGACAAGCCAGTTAAGACCCTTGAGCTGGTACTCCTTCAGCTTAGCGGTAAGCATGTTGGGCTGAGAGATCTCGATATCACCCAAGCTGGTAGGGTTCTGGAAGTTCAGTTCACCCTCATCCAACGCATCCATCTGGTTCTGGCCGTTGTTGAAGGCACGGGCTCGATCTTGAGCCTGTTGAACGGCATTTTGAGCGTTGGCCATGGCCGCCTGCCGCAAGGCCGTCTCATCCTCGGCATCAAAGTCAAGATCTTCGAAGTTGGTGACCTTGGCACCAAGGTCGGCGACACTGGGAGGCATATCCACCGTGTGGTCTTGAGGTTTCCCAGGCTGGACAGTCTGGTCGGTTCCATCCACGGCCGTGTCCCCGGACTCGTCTCCTTCTGCACCTTTGATCTTACGGCCAATGAAGTGGGAGTACAGCTCGGTCTGAGAGATAAGGAAGTTGAGCTTACGTCTCTGACGATTGGCTTCACGCTCCGCTTCCGCCTTCTTAGCAGACTCGATCTCCTGCTTTTCGGCAAGACGACGCAAATCACGTTCCTCACGTTCGTTGCGCTTCCAGAAGGACATCATTTCACGCATTGTCCGTTTGGCACGGGCCTGAGTGTCTTTCATGCTCTTGTTGGTGCGTTCCTGCCACTTGCGAGATTGCTTGCTAGCCAGTTGGGCTGTCTTGCGGAGGTTTTCCTGGCGCGTGCTGAGAGACAGACCCTTGATGCGGTAGACCTTGGGGATATCTTTACGAGCAATATCGCGCCAGATCTGCTCGTAAATCTGGTTGTAGCCCTTGGTCTCGAAGGCGGAGAGCGGCGTGGGCGTGGGCTCCTTGGATCGGTTGCCTTTGGTCTCCTTCTTGATGGACTCCTTACGGGGGTCTTCCTTGGGTGCCACAGGCAATGCCTCATCGTTCTCCATGGCTGCATACGCTGCTTCTGCCGCGTCCTTTTCAGCTTGTTTCTGTTCCTTGGACTTTTTGGGTCGCGTGACGGGGCCATTGCGTCCAGACTTGCGCCTCGAAGGAGAGTTCCGACCGATGTGGAAAGAACTGGTGGTGCCCCCTTCAAGGTTTGGCGCCAAGGGAGTCACTTCGCTAATCTCCTCGGGGGCAGTAACACCCTCCAGAGCTCTCTTGGTAGTCTTGATCTTGCGCTGAGCTCTCTCGGCTTCACGGAGGAACTTCGCCTTCTCGGCAGAATCCTGGGCCTCATTTGCTTTGAGCTCTGCCTCCAGTTTCTTCTGCATTTCCATGCGCACGGTATTCTCACGTCGCCGCTTCCGCTGCATGTCCTTCTTGCGTTCTTTTTCGTCCTGGATCTCTTTAGCTTGTACTTCAGCGATAACGGATGCCTCGTTCGTGAGTCGGAATCGATCCATTCCGGCATCGGCTTGCTTCTCCAGGGACTTTGCGAGATCTCCCAAGAACTGATGACGTCGTCGCTAAAAGTATGTTAGCCTGCAAAGTGATCACGAATGAACGCATATTTCACGAACCTTGCGCCGAATCAACTCCGTTTGCTCGGTGAGAAGGGCACGCTTCTTGCTTTTGGCCTTGTATTCCTGGTACTGTCTCTCATACCCAGGGCCTTCCACATCACTTTTATCTGCGTTTGCCATATCGACCATCGCGCGGTTGAGAGCTTCCACCTCCCCTTCTGTCAAGGGGTGGCGAGAAGCAGCGCCGCGGGACGACGAGGAGGCTTTCGTTGACTCAGAAAGGCCATTCGCGACGGTGGAAGACCGTGAGTCGGACACTCTGGGCTCGTGGTCGACGTTGCGACGGCGCTTTTCATTGGCGGGTTTCTTTTCTATTCGCGGTAAGGCCGGGCCAGAGGGCTCTCTGTCTTTGCTTTTGCTGCGAGAGACCGGGATGGGCGTCGTCGACGGTGGGTTCAGATTGTCCGTCGCGCTTGGTGCTGGCGCGATGGGGGTTGCTGCGGGTTCCAGGGACGGCTGTTTCTTCGGTGGAGATTGTCGGGAAGGCGGGTTGCGCTCTTCTGCTGGTCCAGCCAAGATGCTCGCAAACGACATGGGATCTGGTTTCTGGAGGCCGCAAGAGAAGTGATCACGATCAGCTATTGTGGACCAAGGAACATGCAGGAGAGGAAAAAAAAAACAACAACGTACGGTTTCCTTGGGAGGAGAAGAATGCCTAGACTCTCGCATCATGGAAGATGGATACGGCGCGACTCCGTGGCCCCCCATAGGGTAAGGAGATTCTGACTCTTTTTTGGGAGAAATTTGCGAATGGCTGTCGGGCCGACCAGAGGGATGAGCGTGGGAGGGAGTAGAATGACCGTAGGGGGTCGCGCCGTTGCCCGACAAGACGGAATTAGAGTAGGGCCGAGGCAGGGGGAACTGCGGCGTTCCAGCCGAGGAATGGGCCTGATACTGTGATGATGTATCCGATGGATGAGATGAAGGAGCGGCGCCATTCAACGGAGGCAGCGTGGCCGGTAACGGAGACGGCGCATGGGAGAAGTGAGGGCTCCTGGCCATGCTGGGCTGAGGGGGGAAGGCGGGCGGCGTCTGCGGCGGGTGCTGTTGATATTGGTCATTGTTGTTGGGGTAGTAGGGACGGTTCTTGCTCGGAGAAGAATATGCAGAATAACGAGGTTGCTGGGTAGGAGATTGAGGATTGTACGGCGGAGCTCCCGTCATGATTGCCGCGTTGTGCCGGAGGAGTAGACGCGGCGGCGAAGGTGACGGACAGCAGTGATGGGGAGGGGAGAGGATGAGGATATTTAGAACAAGGACCGTCGCGATGGATGAAGGCTGGCCATGCGCGAAGGGGATGGGGAGGGAGGTGGTCTTGGAGAGGTTTTAGCTCACGGAGATCTTGAGGTGAAGGGCGATCACGCGTCCGTCCGTTAGTTGTTCGCCGTCCAGCTAGAGTTCCCTGCGTGAAAAGGAATTAAATCTGAGTGGCCGACTTGGGGGGAGGAGTGGAGACAAGAGGACAGGGAAGCATGGAGATGGAGATGACGATGGGGGGAAAGATGATGGGGGGTGTGGTTGGGATGATGAAGACGACGACGATGATGATTGAAAAGGGAAAAGAAGGATGAAGAAAATGAGCGGATAAAGGGAGGATTGATTGCCTTACCGGATGAACAGGAGTCTATCGGCGGTTGCTGGAGGAGGAGGAGGAGGAGGAGGGTTTCTTGGTGAGGGAGGGAGGGAAGACGAAGAGGAGCGAGCGAGCCAGCCAGCCAACAAACCCTCACGGCTCAGCCGTTCCAGACAACAGAAGTCAACTGTGAATTCAACTGAATAGATGACCAGAACCGGTAGAGCGATGATGCTGGGGGGCCGTGGTTATGAGGGATAAAGACCAGCTGCAATGAGCCGTGAAGGAGACCCACGAGGGGCGAAATCTCGCCAGTTTGTTCCCGTGGTAGGAGGCTTTGTGGTGATAGCCGTCTAGATAGGAAGATAGAAGGGCTGGTGGAGGAGGTGGAGGTGGTGTGTGTATGGAAGTGTATACTTAGAAAGGAGTGAGCTTAGGCAGTGAATGAAGGGGGAGGAAGGAATTAATTTGGGATAGATGAGAGAAGAGGCTGTTGTGGTGGATGATTGCAACAAACGCCTTTCTCTGACTCTCTTTTTTCAGCTTCATTGAGCCAAAAGCTCGTCTCCAGAGAGTGAAAAGTGAGTGACAGACCGCGGCGGGACTCACTCGGGCATGGGCTCGTTCCTGCCTATTCGGGTGGATTTCCCTTCCATACCCGCCGGCTGTGGCTGTTTGGCTGTCAGTCTGCGTCAGTATGCGTATTTCACTTACCCCAAGTTACATAGCTTACCACTAGTAACTATTTTCAACTTGTGGGGACGACAACCCAGGAACTACGCCCAGGCTCCGCATAAACGCCGCTATATGCGATATATGATTGAGATAAATTGAAGTCAGTCTGACATGGAGCCATGGACTTTCTGTTAGAACTTGTCTTCCACGCATTCACCATGACAAGTACCATATATTCCAGGCGAGAAAGAAGAAACCTTCTGAGGCTGGGTCTCGCCATCCCGCTGCGGTCTCGCCGTGTCCATCACTTCAAGTCATTGTAAGGAAAGGCTGTCCTGATACCAGTACGAAACCGCCCAGACGTTCACCTCAATGTACTCTAGATGCAGTTTATTGTACACGAGGTTCGATCAGAGATGCATATTGAACATCAACCATGAATCTCTAAAAGATTGAACTCTACCATGCTGGTAAGGTTTTGGCAGCAAGTCAGTCATCGGAATTTCGGGAGCAAACAGCGGCTGCATGACATCCAACATTGCGCGCATACGGCGAGCTACATAGAGTGATTATGCTTGTGAGGGGGAGATTAAGCACGGAGAAAGGGGAACTTGTACAGTATAACACGAACGTCTTCAAAAAGGCATTGACAAACAGACACAGCATAACTAGAGGCCTGATTCAGCAGTTCGTTTGTCTGTATAGGTACTCCGTACCGAGCCAAGAATGATATCAAGTCAGGTGGCTGCCCAGGAGGTCCTCAATCCGTGGCAGGTCCAGGTATATAAGATGAGGGCTCGTAGTGATGTGCTTTCAAATAAAATAGCTACTAATTACTTTACACTATCTTCATCCCCAATCCACCAGCCCCGATCCATCCGGCCTGAGGCACCTGGCACTGACAGCCCTGACTTAAGTATGTACTTAGGTACTTAGGTAAGCATGAACCGATTCCGGTGATGGGCCAATCCAATGCGATCTCCCCGCCCAAACTGTCCCGGAGGTGGACATTTTCCCAAGAGGGAGAGGGACAGGTGCATCCCACGATGTTCCTGGGGGGTTTCCTTCCAAAAGCCGAAATCTCGAACATGAAACAAGAGCCAAGCAGCGTGGGGGGGGGGATCCAACTTAGGCGAAGACCACGAACGGAGGGGCTGACGAGGGGAAGGGAAATCTGACCTAATGCAATATCGGGGTCTGATAATGCTCTCAGTCACCGTTGAGATGCGGAGACAAATCTCGATCAATTGCTGATGACGTCTACATGTTCCACCTTTTTTTATTTGAACTGGACCCCCCCCCCCCAAAAAAGATAATTGACATAATCCGAAAACAGCATGAAGTATGAAGTCAAAGAAATGCAACCACCGAGTATCGCCAGGGGAGAGAGAGAGGGGCACAGACCGGAGGTAACAGACCGGACAGGAGATGCTCGGGAAATGATCTCCTCGTATCGCCCTCACCCTGGGATGAGCAAGACCACAAGGATCGGGATCCCAGGATGTACAACCTCCGCATCCGTGTTGCTCCTCTCGTCCGATTGTCTGGACTGTGCTTCCTGTCAACAACACACCACTAAGAATCACGACGTCACTTTGATCGCTTCGGCCGGGAGGGAATCACCCCACCTGCCATTCATTCATTCACTCACTCCGTCACTCACCTGTCCTACTTCCAGTACGTACAACGAACCATGAGTAGAAAAGTGAATGGTCTCATTGCCTGTTGTCTCTAGAAATCCTACAAATCCTATAAATCCGGTCCTCCCTCGCTCTTTCATTTCCCCTCTCTTTCCACGTAACACAGCTTCCGCTTCCTACGTTTACATCTACTTTCCCAGCATTCAAGCATCCAAGCATAGAATCTCTTTACCTCGTTATCTACATCTACATCTACATCTACATCTACATCTACACCCACAAACCCCTCACCCATCCCCAATCACAACCTCCACCACCACCACCACCAACAACAGCAACCAAAGAAAATGTCTTCCCCTCCCGAGATCCCCTCGACCCAATGGGCCCAGGTGGTCGAAGAGAAAGGCCACCCGCCAGTCTACAAGCAGATCCCCGTCGGCAAGCCGGGCCCGGACCAGATCCTGGTCAAGATCCGGTACACGGGGGTGTGCCACACGGACCTGCACGCGATGAAGGGGGACTGGCCGCTGCCGCTCAAGCAGCCGCTGGTGGGCGGGCACGAGGGGGCGGGGATCGTGGTGGCGCGCGGCGACCTGGTCACGGAGTTCGAGGTGGGCGACCACGCGGGCATCAAGTGGCTGAACGGGTCGTGCCTGGCCTGTGAGTTCTGCAAGCAGGCGGACGAGCCCCTGTGCCCGCACGCCGCGCTGTCCGGCTACACCGTCGACGGCACCTTCCAGCAGTACGCCTTGGCCAAGGCGAGCCACGCCTCCAAGCTGCCCAAGGAGGTGGCCCTGGACGCCGTCGCCCCGATCCTCTGCGCCGGCATCACCGTCTACAAGGGCCTGAAGGAGTCCGGCGTGCGGCCCGGCCAGACCGTCGCCATCGTCGGGGCCGGCGGCGGGCTCGGCTCGTTGGCGCTGCAGTACGCGAAGGCCATGGGTCTGCGCACCATTGCCATCGACGGCGGAGAGGAGAAGAAGGAGATGTGTCAGAAGTTGGGCTCGGAGGTACGAAAGATAAAAACGTGTAAAAAAGAGAAAACACAAAACTAACGAGCAATAAAAACAAACCAGGCATACATCGACTTCACCACCTCCAGCGACATCGTCGCCGACGTCAAAGCCGCCACCCCGGAGGGTCTCGGCGCCCACGCCGTCATCCTCCTGGCCGTGGCCGAGAAGCCCTTCCAGCAGGCGACCGAGTACGTGCGCTCGCGCGGCAGCGTCATCGCCATCGGCCTGCCCGGTAACGCCTTCCTCCGCGCCCCCGTCTTCAACACCGTCGTCCGCATGGTCAACATCAAGGGCAGCTACGTCGGCAACCGCCAGGATGGCGTCGAGGCCGTCGACTTCTTCGCCCGCGGACTGATCAACGCCCCCTTCAAGACGGCGCCCCTGAAGGATCTCCCCAAGATCTTCGAGTTGATGGGTATGTTGCCTCTCTTCCGCCTCTTTGCTTGCACTCGGCAGAATCAGGACTAACACACCGTCTCACCAAAACAGAACAAGGCAAGATCGCTGGCCGCTATGTCCTCGAAGTCCCCGAGTAAATGCATCCTTTTCTCGCTGGACCGGGATAGTATCCGTTTTACGAAGGTGACGACGATAAGACCCTCTATCTACCTTTGCTTTCTATTTGTCTCTTAATTTCTAAACCGTCGCCCCCTCCCCACCCTCATGCATTGCTAAACACATCGGGTGTCAATGGGGTGTCCTACGATGTAATGTACCACAGCGTTTGCAAATCAATTCTCCAATCAAATGATTCTTTGGCCCCTTGAACCGGCTTACAGTATCTTGACCCTTACATCTTGTCTTATCAGTACCTTGTGCGATGATAAACGATTCAAGCACGGAGATTTTATTGAACTACTCCGAAGTACAAGAGCGAGAACTCTCTTGAAAATAGGTTACAAGCCACTGAAAGAAAAGAAAGGGCTCAAGCAGTGTTACCCTTCTTCTCCTTCTCTCCCTCCGCTTCCTGCGGGAGCCTCGTCTCGGACGGACTAGCTGACCCCCCCACGGTCGTCTGCGGACCTTTGTACACCTTTCGCGCATAGACCGCATAGTAAAGCAGCGCCCCAAGCCACAGGGTGCCATTGATGACAATGGTGTAATTCATATTCGCAGCTAAATTTTCGCACAGGAACAGCAGTCAGCGCGGAATCCCATCCACAACCCAACCAAGACGAAAGGAATGAGTGACACAACTTACGGGTCGGGTCTGGTCCTTCGGTAGGAAACATGCTCAGCACGATAGCAAAAGCCAGATACACGATCGCGGTGATTGCAATGGGCTTGCTCAGCCGGCCCGTATAGAACTCTCCGGGGTAGAACCGGTCTTGGCCCCAGACGAGCCGGGCCAGGATCGGGACCATCCAGGCGAGATCGTTGCCCGCCACGGCTAGAGAGAACAGCGCGCTGGCCGCAGCGTTGTCGATCAGACAGAGCAGACCAAGGATGATGGCGATCACGACCACGGCGCAGACCATCCGGACGGGTTGGAACCGAATGCGTTTACTGACGTGGCGGAAGAAGGAGGAGAAAGGGAGGGCGCCGTCGCGAGAGAAGGCCCAGCTCTGACGGGAGGCTGCGACCACCTGTTTTTAGGTTCCGCGATTAGGGGTCAGTTCAATGTGCTTCGGATCGTTTGTTCGGTACTGGAAGAGAGTGACTGAGCTCACAAGACTCAAGCCCATGAAGAACTGGACCACTGCTACCACGACCATGAAGCCGAGCGCGCCGCTTTTTCCGAGGGAGTCATAGTAGATCTGGAGGACGCAATCGCTCAATATCAGCCCGGCCTCAATTGACAGAATAAAAGGAACCCACCTGTGCCATGGGTTGTCCGAACTTGGAGTCGAGGACCGCCGTTAGATCGACGTCGATCACAGCTGCCATTATCGCCAGCGAGACAAATCCCAGCAGACCACACAGGCCCGCGGACCAGACAATCCCCAGTGGTACCGCCCGCGCAGCATGGGTGGCCTCCTCACTCATATGGACACAGGAGTCGAACGCCCCGATGGTCCAGATGGGCGACAACCACGCGATCATGAAGCTCCAGCCCTCGGGCCAGGTGGTGAGATTCTCAGCATGCCCGAAGACGTAGGCACCCGAGTTGATCTGCCCGCCGCGTACTGCCTTACCAATCGGCAATGCGAGCGCAGTGGCAAAGACCAGGCCCGCGTTGAGGACGATGCAAACAGACTGGATTTTGGGCATCACGCGCGCAAAGAAGATGGCAATCAGGCCGTGCACGACGACGCATGCGACATACGTGCCGTAAAGGGCGGGACGGGAAGCAGTCCATTCGCCATCGCGCGCAATGGAAACAATAGCCAACAGCATAGTAGCAAACCCATCTCACCCTCCGAGTCAGTTCGAGGCAGAAGCATCTCACGAGGAAGAGGGGCGCCGCTTACAATCTATGGAACAGACACCTCCAACAAGACCGATTGTATTGCTGTATCCAACGACAAAGCTGAGGGGATTCTTCCATTTCTCTCCGCTGAAATAGTGGGTCCAGAAGTATAGACCACCGGCAGTGGGCATCGCAGACGCTAGATCGGCCTAACTGACACAGAGTTGTAAGCGTCCGACCAGAATAATAGGAACCAAAAGAGCTGAGGGAGGCAGACCATAGCCAATGCCACTATGAAGATGAAGACACTCGCAGCAAACCAACCTAGAATTCCTGTCAGACCACTGCCTTGAGCACATCGCACTGAATAAACAAGAGATACCGTACCCTGCGATGCATTAGCCACAAGCCTCATCTAGTCAGGTACCAAGCAACCCCCGTGTAAGCATAGCAAGAAGGGCGACGTACCCAGACCATACCCACAGGTCCAGCAGGAATGGAATACGATAAGGTCGATGCGATCGACGGCAAAAGTCCCATGATACTGAATGCAATTGCGAAGACCTGTACGGTCGAATAATGCCTGCGCAGCTCCTGCTTGTACCCCAGTGTCGCTGGTCTCGTCAGCATAGACACACGAGACAGACGATACGCAAGCGTACCTAGAAGCTGCATATCGCCTTGTTCCAGCGAGGGCTCCTCGCCCACTTCTGGTGAAACCTTAGACATGAAGTCCATGTTCTGGGACTTCTCCGCCATGGTAACAGGATTATGGACATCAATCGAGCGAATGAATGGGCTATAGTTACTTGCGAATGGTCAACAGCGCAGAGCAGACGGACCGCTACTTATACCAACCAACCCTTGCCCATTGCACCACTGCATCACTGCATCAATTGGGTTTATTCTCCGATAAGCAACGGCCGGCAGGGACCATTCACACCGCAGCCCAGACTCTAATGGCACATGCGACACGAACCGTCAAGGTCCAGCCATAGCCACCACCAAGCCGTGGTGTGGTTATCATCACCTTATCGCGGGGTAGGCCGATCAAGGGGAGAAAGGGGCCAATGTAAAAGCCTGAAGGACTGATAAGCTCCCGTGTGTTGCGTCTGGAGCGTCCCTGAACGAGCAAAGTCGACGAGGGCGAAAGAGGAGAGAGAAGTGGAAGCAGAAGTACCAGAGACGGAATTAGGCTGGCATATCATACGGAGTAGAGTAGAGTACATAACAATCAAATTCCCGTTCCCCCCCCCCCCCCCCCGGCTCTTCTTGTTATTACCCCATCTAATCAATCAACAACAACGACTACTACTACTACTGAGGCTAAATTAATGGTTCGAACATTCTTGAAATTCAACTAGTAGGAAGTGGTATCTAGGTAGGAAGTAGTAGTAGTAGTAGAAGGTGACTGTTCCATCTACCAAGTCTCCGTCTCCGTCTCCCTTCGCTTCGCGTAACAATAGCTGGAGGCCTCCTCGGGGGTAAGGGGTAACCAGACCCAGCCCAGATATGCCAATGGGAAAGTTAAAAGAAGAAAGGGAGGGCAAACAAAATCAGATCGAAGAGGCACGAGCGAATAACAAACACACCGGTAGACTGCACCCAATATATAGCACATATATACAGGCGACGCCGGAATCAATGGCAATAGCGGCAGCTACGCATGGAAGTCACTTCATTCAGACTGCACCAGGGCCCTTGTGATTGGACTGATCTAAAAGAAGTCGGGGTTTGATGTAATCTTCATCCAGCTGTCGGAACCACGCCGCGTGGTCTCCCGATGCCCCTGAGAAGAGGTCCCGGATCGCCGCCCTTGCGCTCAATGTTGTCTCGCGTCGCATAGGAGAGGTATTGGCCGGGGTTTGGTCCTGGGACCCTCCCAAATACTGTTGGGGTTGCGAGGGAGACCGCCGCAGTCGAGACGTAGGAGCTGAAGGGGGAAGGTCGTCATCCGAGGGCTCATCACCTACATCGAGATCGAAGGCGTCGAGCTGATCGGCGTCTGTCGCACGACCCTTGCCATTATTCTTCAATCCAAATTCATCCTCGCTTGCCGCGCTGCTCTCGCTGTGGCTCCGAGGCCGACCACCCAACAAAGTAGCTGTTGAGGAACGGTCACGAGCGGTGTCTCGCTGACTGTAGGCATTCGAGTACATTCGGGAATGTCCTCGAGAGCCAGACGGCGGAGGACTGGGACGACGGTTGTTACCACTGGAGTAGCTATCGTGGCGGTCGAGCTCGCCCCGCGGAATGCCATCCAAAGGAATGGTCGAATCAATGCGGCGAGGAGTGTATCCCAAGCCTGTGTCAGAGCGTTTGTAATATGTGCCGCCATTGGTCACCTCGATATCGAACTCATCATCTGACTCAATTTCCTCCACAACACCGGTCCGGATCCCGAGAATCTCCAGCATTCGAGCGGTGGTACCACCAAAGATAATCACGGTCAACACGACGACCACAAGTACCGTAGCACGGAGTGCTGGAGCATTGACACCTTTTAGGCCGGCGGCTAGGGCCACACCAACAGCTCCACGCAAGCCCGCCCAGAAGAGCATGGCTTGATAAGCAAAAGGTAGCTCATCTGCAACGTCCATGCCACGGCGACGGGCTCTGTACCGAATGAACCAATTGATCGCTCGAGACAATGGGAACACCGCCAGGTAGCGGGCTATACAGATACCGAAAACGGCCACGAGAATGAATAAGGGCTTGAACTGTAAATTCCTCTGGACAAGAAGGTCCAACCCAAGGTATATGAAGATAAAGTTCTCGGATAATTGTGCCATCACTTGGAAGAGGTACTTCGTCGTCAACTGCGTCCGGCGGGACATGTTGTAGTACGCATAATGTTTCATGGTAATGCCGCAGAACAGGAGAGACACAATACCTGGTCTATTGTCAGCTTGACTCGAGAACAATGAGGAAATGCAACCTACCGGAGAGGTAGACGCCGTTGGAGAAGAAGTAGCTGGCGTAGGCAATAAGCACGATCAGACAGCTTTCAATCTTCGGCTGGCGTCTGACATGAGTATATTTCAGACCAAGGGCAGTCATGATGCCAACGATAACGCCGACAATCATACTTCCGAAGAAGACGAGCAAGAACAGCCCAATAGCCTCAAATAGGTTCAAGAAAGTCAGAGAGCCCGCCTCACTATCGGCATACTTTTGCGCGGTCTCGAACAGGACGATCGCGATGGCGTCATTCAGGATTGATTCACCGAAAATGACCGTATAGAGCTTGGGCTCGACCTTGTATAGGTTGAAGATGGCCAAGATGGTAACGGGATCCGTCGCCGATAACGTAGCGCCCACCGAGATCGCCTCGACGAAGGTCATATCTAGCCCATCCAACGGAATTCTCGTCCAGACAAACAGAATCAGACCCAGCACGATGGCGGAAATGAAGGTCCCCGCAAACGCAAAGGTCAGGATAGTACCGATGTTTCGGAAGAAGTTTGCTTGGTGTAACTCGTAGCCTGAGGCCAGAATGATCGGAGGCAGGAGGAGGTTGAAGAAGAATTGATAGTCAAACGCGACACTGTCTTGAATTGGTGATTCGGGGCTTAAGCGTATAATCAACCCGACAAACATGCCTGTATGCGTCCATCAGCCTTTGTTATGAATCGCAAGGGCACCGCATTGCGGCCCACATCCGCCCTTGATGGTTGGACAAACACACCCGCGAAGATGGACAGGACTGTTTCATGGACCGCCTGAATCTTTTTCTGTTGTAGTATGTAACTGGTGAAGAGCGCGAACATCAACAGCATGATCAGGATGAAGAGCGCCCAGGAGCTGAAGAACTCCTTGGTGCCGGCCTCGGGAGCATCAGCTGAAGAATAGGCATGTCAGTTTTGGGGCTGCGGTCTTTGTGAGCAAAATCGCATCGCGTACCATCGTCGGGATCTGTGTCAGAGTCCACCGCTCTACCTAGGATACATAAATTCTAGTCAGCCATCGTGCCTATGATGGGCGCGCCTGAGATGGAGGAATAGCTCTTCCGCAGAAGGGGGAATTGGAAACCCCCGATCGAGACGCAATCAAATTGAGGGACACATACGGAGCAACTGGTGCAATACATCGCCCATCACTTGACTAGCCATTGTACTTGAAGATTTGGCTTGTCGACGCGGACGATGGCAAACGGACGATTAACCCCAACGGCGAGTGTCTGGCGCCAGAGTGGAATCGCAGACACACATAATCATCCGCGGATCATGCACGATCCAACGGGAGGGAAGTTAGAGTCGGTAAGATTTCAAGTGTGGAAAAAACCGAGACGAGAAAAGAAAAGAGAAAAGAGAAAAGAGAACTAGAATAGTAAATTTGAAGAAAAAGGAGGAGGGAGGAGTAGAAGAGGTCGTTGTACGGATAAGGTACAATAGTTGGTTAAGGATGGAGGAGAATAAATTAGTAAGTGGAAGAAGACAGACAACGATAAGTGTGTTGTTGTTGTTGTTGTTGCTGCTACTGCGGAGCGGTGGTACCTACGGTAGTCTTGATAGTGCGGGCGGGCGGGCACTCAATCCGTCAGTCAATCAATCAATCAACCAGTTCATCAATCAGTCGTCACACAGGGGGGGGGGGGAAGCTACGCAAGTCACTCCGGTAGTTAACTTAGTAACTTGGGTAGGATTCGTCAACACCCGTCGGGGTCCCGCTGTTGGTAGGATGTGTGTGTGTGTTCGGCCCGCAATTGATCCTCCGCTGCTGGTATGCATGGATCTCTCTACTTTCTCTACTTTCTCTACTTTCTCTACTTTCTCTACTTTCTCTACTTTCTCTACTTTCTCTACTTTCTCTACTTTCTCTACTTTCTCTCTCTCTCTCCCTCTCTCTCTCTCTCTCATCCCTTGTGGTCTATCTACACTCATCTTTTTAATCTGGTAAAATCAAAGCCCCAGGTGTTATAAATAAGCACTGATACCTGATTTCTAAATTGTTCTTGATGTTCTCTGACTAGCTAGGGGCCGACTACTTACATACGTGACTAATTACACTCTACTCTCATCTGAGATAGTCTTCCGTCAGTCCTCTTGAGCACCCGGTGAAAGCGCCATTTGCTCCTGCTCCTACTATAAGGCATACACTCACCGAGTTCCCTCCGCGAGTCTGTGAGCCAACCATGCCGCAACTAGCGTCGCGCAGCCTCCAAATCTTAGCACCCATCCGACACTATCGTCCCACGGCTCCCCGCGAGGTTTCTGGAAGGCCTTGAAGATGGCACTGGAGATCAGACTCGAGAGGATCTGAGGCGCTGACACGGCAACGTTGTGAAGCCCCAGGATAATGCCCGCCTGCGCCAGGTTCTCATCCTCTTCTCCTTTATCAGTGGTCACATTGTGCCCGTGTTCGAGGTCTTCCCTAACCGTAGCCGGAGTGGCGGAGACGCTGGTGTTGGGTACCGTACCGTCAGCCCGCTGGCGTCGAAGCCGGCGCTCCGTGTCAATGCGCGATACCTCCGCCGAGATTAGGGCAAAGGGCGCCCAAAGCGTCAACGCCCATGAGATTCCAACAAGCCCGACAACCACGGTAGCGGCTTGGTATGACGATATGAAGAACGTACTAAACATACAGATGGCAAAATTGACATGCGAGATCAACCAAGCGCGGCGGAGGGTAAGGCCTGGAATCTGTAATTTGGAGAGCCACCCAGCCCCTTCTGCGTATCCACCTTTGGGTTCAGGAGAGATACCGGTAGGTGCTTCCATCGCCGTTCCTATTGAGGATGATCGCCTCCGATCGCCGAGGAAAGGCTCCTCCTCCAATTGATCATCTGAAACTTCAGACTCGCTGGCAACGATCGGCTTGTATGTAGGCACAACAAGAATCGGCAGGGTCAGGTTAGCCACAAAGGAGATAATGGCGTAAACAAGAAGTGCAAATGTCCCAATGCGGGTGGCTTCTTCCCATGCTTTGTTGATGTCATGCTCCGACAACCCCGGGTGTGCTTCGAAAATTGGATTGACAAAAAGCTGTCCAATGTATGTGGTCGAGTAAAACAGGAAAGGAAACCAGCCGACCCAAGCAGCCAGCTGGACCTCGCAGACCTTCGCTATCTCTGGCGGTAGAAATCGGATCGACTTGAAGACCTGCTTGAAGAAAGCAACCAAGCCAGGGTTGCCCCCGGATGGAGGTCCTTCCAGTCGTGGATCTCGTTCTTTGATGTATGAACAACTGACCAACAATGTACAGATAAGTGATAGTGATGCTAAAGCGCACAGCACTTTAAACTGCGTGTTGCCCAATAATGGGAAGTACTTGGGCAAATCCACGTATCCAAAAATATATCCAAGGATGTTGCCCAGACCAGTCATGCGGCTGGCCCACGCATTCGCTGATTCCTGCTGGTGTGAGGGCGCATTATCAACAATGAAACACCGGATACCTGCTTGGACTGTAGCCAAACTCCCGTCAGCATTCTCCGCGATCAAGCCACACGAGGGCAAACTCTGGCCAGACCTACCAGTATTTACAGAAAAGTCCAAGCAATACATCAGGATAGTGGCTAGCACAATAACCACTGTCTGAGACGCATCGGACCCCGGTGCAACATCGAATACTCCAAGGAGGCCTTCTGTGAGCTCTCGGACCCAGGCTAAGGCAAGGAGGGAGACAACGCTCGCTGCACCGCCGACCACCATGAACGGCTTTCGCTTCCCCCATGATATGCGACAGTTATCACTGCAGATGCCGATGTAGGGTTGAACGAGGGTTCCTGTCAAAGGACCGGCGATCCAAACGAAAGCAAGTAGAGCCTTGCTCATTCCAAGAGACAAAAGATAGGGCTACAGCCACCCCCAGGGATTAGTCCAAGCAGGATCATGCGGCGGGACCGTGCGAGCTTACCGATCCATTGGATAGCTCAGTAGACCATACGACCTGAAGACTGAGACAGTGGATATAGTTATCAGCTTTCTGGCTGCTGTGGGAAGCAGACTCATGCTCCGAATGGAGGTCAGTGCTCACCCGCCAATACTCAAGGTCAACAAGAACAGATACCAGCTGCTCTTGGTCTCCGATATATCGGGAGTATCTCCCGATCCATTGATTGCACTTGATTCTCCGGAGTGCGTCATTGAAGTCACTTCATTACTGTCAGCTGCTCCCACCAAAGGGGACGTTTCATTGGCAAACCGATAATGTGCTTCCGGCATTGAAATCGTGTTCTGAAAAGGGTTCCCTCAAAATAGACTAGCAGAGGCTACTCTGAGCTGATGTGCTTGAGCTATGATCCAGTCTTCTGAGTAATTTTCTCAAGATGACCAGGGTATCAACGGTTGAGGTAGAGGCGACCACGCTTCGTCTGCACGAAGTGGGAAGACAGTGCCTGTCAGAGGTGATACAGCCGAGCGCGTCGAAGCAGCCGGAGGGAGAAAGTCAAAGCCAAGTCACTGCGTCTAGATGATTTCCTTGCTCAAAGCTCAAGCAAGTGTAGCTCTAAACGAGGCCGGGCGGGAGGCTATAGAGGCAACGCGGGTTGGATCGGGCAGAACCAGAATGTTTACTGAAACGGAGTTGAAATGGGAATGATTCAGTCCTGATATTGATCCATGACTGCATGAGACTTTGGAGGATATCTAAATAATAAGAGCCAGCCCCAAGGGTAAGGGTAAGGCAAAGGAGATGAGATGATGATGAACAGCAAGCATGTCATGTGTCCTTCGCGCCTCGCTTCTTCTTGGTAAGGTTGGGTCGACGTCAGCAGGCCACCCACGTGACTGAGCCACGATTTGTTCCCGTTTAGTCCGGGGAAAAGCAATCCATCCATTCATGAAACACTACGGGGTGATTGAAGGTCGTCTGACTGGGGTAAATCTCATTACCATTTGATTCATATCTATATGCATGTATTTCGCCAGAACCAGAACACTCCTGCCACAGTCACAAGTCCCACCTTTTGCTTTCCCATTCATGGCGACTCCATGCTTCGGATCCAGGATACCAGGGCTTTTCAGCCCAAACGCGCCGGATTGGTCGCCAGATAAACCTCCCGAGCCTCATACTAGGTAGTCATAGCCTCTCTCCCAAGGTTCGAGTTGGGGACCCCGTTTTTGTCTTAACTTGCGTCTCCAAGGTTACCATTTCCCACCTCAACATATTTGATCGAAATGCAGGCAAAGAAAGTGACAGGATCATGAGAAAAGAAAAAGAAAAAAAATGATACAAGAGATTCCCATTATCAACATAACACATGAGGAAGAAACAGAACCAGAGGCCGAACCGAAGCGCAGAGGATAAGGGGGTAAGGAAAAAGAAAAGAATAAGAAACCCGATTGTTATGGGAATCTACCAGCGTAGTCCACAATCGCAAATGTCGATGTCGCGCGTATTAGGGATAAGTAGATCCAGCGCGATCGTCAAAATAAGTCACAGGGGAGCTGTTGCTCGTCCATGCCAGGGTATTGCCAGGGTATCGCTGTGACTGTCGAACAAAGGACAGGCCTAAAGACAAAAAGCCACCACAGGTAGCCAGAGATGGTTCGAGGAATATCGCTGGGACGTGGCATAAGCAATGAGGGTCTACCAAATCAAACACAAATTCGATAGGTCATCCAGAAGCAGGTAGTATGAACATAGGACCCGCATGAGCCAGGTCCGAAAGAAGGCGGCATAATATGACGGAAGATCAAGGTATGTTACCCGCAGAGTATATGCGATATAAAAAAGGTTAATGCGGTTCAGGCATTTCCGAAGAATATCGGAGTCCTCAGATCTGTTGTTGCAAAAGTTGGGGCGCAATCATATGAGGAGCCATCATGGTGGGCATAGAAGCCGGCAAAGTCATTGCAGATGGCATTGTGGTCACACTAGGGACGACAGCACTTGGCATCGAGTCGGACGGCGAGGATCCCTCATCTTGGGAGCCAAATCCGTTCTCCTCATTCTCAAGGTCATCATCCGGCACAGAAACTGGCGGCTGACCATCTTGCTGAGCCTCGTGAATACGACGGTGCCTGGTATACGACATTAGGGGACTGTGATACTAGAATAGCATACCAGGAAGACTTACTGTGCAAGATTGTCCGACCGGGAAAAGGCCTTGTTGCAGTAGGGACAAGGATAAGGTCGCTCTTGAGTGTGAGTCCTCACATGTCTAAGCATCAGATGTCAGCAAGAAGCTACAGGAGCCGTGCTGGCACACAGCCGTAGCGGACAGAATAACCAGACAAAGATAGTGATAGTGACTAACCTCTTCAGATGTTCTAGTCTCTTGAACAGACGTCCACATGACGGGATCGGACAGGAATGCGATTTCTGTGGATAGGGGCCAAGTTCCATCATGGTAGCGCTCCGAGCCCGGCGAACAGGCCCAGGAGCATATCGTTCTACCTTGCTTCCCGCACTGTGCTGGGCGGGAACGTCGAGCGCCTCGCCATCTGGAAGAGGAGCGAGTTCATCTGTACCATTCGTGGGACGCATGACATGCGACTCAGGAGTTTCATCCAAACTCGACAAGGGGGTGCTATGGCGCGACATTTCATGCAACAAATTCTTCTGAGGAAGAACCGCCGCACGATAACCATTGAGGGAGCGATGGATGTCGTGATGCGAATCATCTCCTGCCTCTGGAATAGGGGCCACGGAGCTGGACACAGACCGCCGAAGGTCACTTGGCCGATGGGCGGCATAAGTGACAGCTTGGGGTTGTGGGGCCGTAACCTGCGGGTGCATAGTAGCAGCAGCACTAGTGACGCCTGGAGGGATAGAGGACCGGCGCCGACGCTGCTTGTACGTCGGTGAGCCTTCTAGCATGGAATAGACATTTGAGGGGAAAGATCTAGCCGGAGTTGGGAAGTGAGCGCTTGTGAAATTCGAAGGAGGAAGCTGCATCATCGGATGGTAAGGTGCTGCCGAGGAGATATCTGGGATAGCGGTGTAGAGACCGGTATCTTCGTTGGCGATATAGGCTGGTTCAGCGCCAAGGTGACCGTGCTGCGGAGGCGTGACTGGTTCAAACGATAAACCCCGATTGGAATAATCCTCGTACTGCGAGGACACGAAGGACGGAGCCGGGGAGTATTCGACGAAGGTTGGCATTGAGGCATGACGCTGGTGGATGCGAGCAATCGGCATCCCGTTGCGATCGTACTGGATCTGCCCATACTCTGCTTCACGCTTAATAACGTTTTGGGCTAGAGTCGTAGGCATGGGGATCGGGTTGTACATCGCCGGGTGGCCGGACTCGTCCGGGAGAAGGGGTAGCGCCGGGGGAGCCATTTGGGGAGCCATCTGAGGAGGAGGCATAGCGTCAACGGTCCGAACCACTGGGGATGCAGGTTGGCCATATGTCGTACTTGCGTGAGCAGCAAACGATGATGAGTTCGCTTGTTGTGCCTTTGTGAGCTGTTCATACAAGGACTGCGATGAATCAAACTCGAAAGACAGAGCAGGCTCGCTGACTGCAACTGTGGTCGCCTCCTGGCCCATCTTCTCGCGCTTCAAATCACGCTCCAACGCATCGAGGAAAAGGCGGTCGTGAGGCACGCTGTACCAATAGAATACCTTCTGTTTCTTCTGAGTGCGGATGCAGTTGTTCTTGTACAGGAAGTCGAGGAATGGACTCTTGGGTTCTTCGAGCGTGGCATCAGTTCCGGCCTTGAGGTTTCGCAGATCCGAGAAGATACCCTCCTCGAACTTCTTCGAGTTTTTGACCGGGCGACCGAAGGCTTGGAATCTAAAGGCCAGGCATCTCACGATATCCGTGCCCGAGATGTGAAAGAGGTTGTTCCTGTCACCAATCAGCGTGTGCGCCTTTCCCTACCCATTGTTTCTTCTACTCCAAACTAACCAGAGAACACATGATATGTAGTCGCCTGTCGGGAGCAGGAACCTGCGGATGAGTTGATCCGTATGCCAGTCTACGGGCGCTGAGAGAAGGAAATATTTGACTTGTGGGGAGGCGGCACAAGGTCAGCTTCTAGAGTGGCGACGGAGGGGGGAAGCCCAGATAACGTTGCAGTGGCATGATATAGGACTTACGATTGTCGACCTGCTGCAGTGCGACTTGCGCATCATGAGGAAGGCTTTGCTGGGCTTCGTTTGAGAGCATAAATGTCTCTGGCTTCTGGGGAGGCGCCATAGGGGCACCATGTTGGGGATACATTGTGAATGTGATACAGTGGTCTGGTGAGAATTCCATCAGCCCGAGTCGGCAAGCGAAGTTTGTATGCATGTGCGCAAACAAAGACTCATGGTGGACGGGATGTTAAACATAGCCACCGTTGGGCCGAACAAGGAAGACGCACCGCCAAATGAACCTGATCAAAGAAAAAGCGGATGGACCGCACGCAATCACCAAGGGCGACTTTCCGAGAGAAAGAGAGAGAGCAACGACCCGGAGAAGTGATTGATATTGTGGGTAGATTGGATGTATGTCGACGATAAATCGTGAAACAAGTGAGATCCAAACACGCGATCTGAGAAAAGAGTACCAGCCTCCTGGGTAAGATGTGTTGTTGTTGTTCTCGTCGTCGTTTAGGCGCTGACGTTGCCGGCCCCTCGTCCAAACGGGTAAGAAAAGGGCGAAGAGAAAAAGAGAGCAATGGAGAGTTGAACTGGGCCAGCCCGATTACAAGTCTCTTAGAATAACTCGCACGGCGAAGGGGGGGATGGAAATGAAACGAAAGGAGGTGAAAAGAAGAAAGAGGCAAGTCGTGATGGGAGGAAGAGAGGGGGAGGGGAAAGAGAAAGAGGAAGGGGAAGAAGAGGAGGAGGAGGAGAAAGAGGAAGAGGGAGATGAGAATTGAGGTAGGACTTGCTTTTT